TGGAGGAGAGCAGCTAGGAATTGTGGGATACAGTGACGCCAGCATTCCTGACACATATCGAACAGGTGAAGCTCGTTCACGATTCACTTTTTTTATAAAATACAAGTTCGTGAAAGTTTGCTCTCATATTGCATAGTCTTATTACTAAATTTTATTTTGAAAGGAAATTTGATTTTTGACGCCGAAGTGGAGGCAGTGCGAGAGGAAGTAACAAATCTCGTCGCTGGGGGCATTAACAAAATTATAGCTGTGGGATATGGTGAAAACGACTTGCATGACGAAATAGCCAACAATGTTCCCGATATTGATGTGATAGTGTACGGTGGCCCACAAAAGTTTCTCTATACAGGTGAGAGGATGTACATAGCTTCATTCGATTACATTACATTTGAAAACAAGATAACAATATATTAAGAAATAACATTTGCAGTCTCGCAGACAATCAACTTCCAAGTAAAACGCATGCGTGTAAAGAAAGTTGTCCGTTTCGACAGGTACGCCATACGAAGACGAAAACGAGGTTGAAGGACCTTACCCAACAGTTGTTATGATTGATCGGGAATCACCAGTTCTGTTAGTAACTGATTACAAATGGGGCAAATATTTGGGTCATCTCAATGTCACGTTCAACGAGGATGGTCACGTGGTGAAATGGTCTGGAAATCCTATCTTACTGAATACGTCGGTCGAGCAAGGTTTGTTGTTTTAGTTTTACCTCATACGTAACGCGTACGACACACGACAATGCATACTTCTGGCTCAGACTTGAGTTTACTAATCAAGTGAAGTTAAGGGCGGTGGTCGTCGCGCCACGTTCTGTTCGATATGGGACTCATAGCGACGTATACAACGCGTGTAAAATACATTGTTTGTTTACATGAAATTCGAACACGCGCTGCGCGACGACCACCGCGCTTTAACATCAGAGGCATTCGACAATATCGCTATAACTCATGGCGCCACATTAACAGATGTACAAAAATGCGACTCATTTAGCTGGTAACATTTACACGTAGAGATTCGACCCAAAGGATTACACATTAGTTCATTACAGATAGTCTAGCTTTATTCATGTAAATGGCCGGCTGAGGTCATCCATCGCTGCCCACTTATCTGGTTCTCCATTACGAAGTGTTACAAACACTCTCATAAAAAATTATAAGGCGTGACAGAATAAACATACGATCAGCCAATCACTGCAGTCGTTGGCACGATCACGTGATTACCAGGGATCTGTCTCATGGTTAAAAGTTGGGACTACTAAATACAATAAGTAAACAATCTATTTATCAAATTTATGTTATATATATTTACAATCTCCACCCTAAACATGCAAGTTGTTGATTCTAAACAATAGTAATACGGCGTGTGAAACGTGCGTACGTGAAGTTGCTATGGCAACAATGATATATATTATCTTAAAAGCGATATTTACGCCAGCTAGTCAGACATCTGAAAAATCTATGGAATATGTTGTTATAGTAATTGTTATTTATAATGAAAACAAAATATATGTTTCTTGGTGTGTTTTTTTCTGAATAAAGCAATAACACATAGTAAACTGTACCTTATTACATTGACTGGCACGAATTCTCGTACGTTTAGACACTGGAACTAGTAACAGTGGTTTAGAATTAGTATGCAGAACGTGCGGGGGACAATGTGGTTGCCATTCCGCAAGGTGTTTATCACTTGTGCAAACGTACACTGTCATAAGATAAATACTCAAAATATATAATATAATGTAAACTAATGCGATAATATATCGCAATACGATAAGTCCTGAAAAATATAGAATATTTGCATAAATGCAGAATAAGCAAATGAGATGGCATATAAGTCAGTGGATCAGTGGTGATCTAGATAGCAACATAAAAAAGTTAGTCCGAGAAATGCGTGCTGATAGATGTCGTGATATGGCTAAATATTAGGCAGTTATTATAGGTCATAGGCGACAGTCACTTTTGACGGAGAATCCAGCTGCTAATGTAACTACAAGTCTTTAAACAATAAGAAAACGAATAATGTGTATGTCATTCAAATAAACCACAGTTTTCGTTGCAAGCACGGAACTAAATAAGGAGATCTATGATGCAAGTAATAAAACTGCTTTAAAAAGTAATAGAGTAATGCTTGGTGTTAGCTTATGGAATTAACACCTTCGGTGGAAATAATAACAGCTGTGTGCCAAGTAAACAACTAGGCGGACCATCATGCAAATTACATTTCCCTTGACGCACTGGGGCAATCCCTGGGATATCGGAGCCACGCTTTAAGTATAAGCACCAACTTGACAGGTTCAAATAAAAAAAATAGTAAGTTCATTTATGTTTACTACATAATTAGTTTGAAAATTTTTGTGTAATTTGTGTAAAAAAATACTTACACGTTACACGTTTTATTTCCAACAAAACTGAGGCACGTACACGCATGTGTACGAGCGTATTATTCAAACATACTAAATAGACGCAAATTTGGGAAGCTATTCTAAATATGACATACACGCCTCCCATTTGGCCCTATCAAACTCCTCATCTTCACAATTCCAGATAGCAACTATTTTATTAATTGCTATTTCTGCATCTTTTAAAGACAAATATTTACTCTTAAATTGAACCTTGATTCTTTCGTTGTCTTTTGGCCCATGTATCAACTTATCTGCACCGGTCAACGTGAGCATATCATCGTCCAATTGTTGTCGTGTCAGTTGTGAGCAGAAAAATGCATTTTCGGGACTCCCGTACAGACGTTTCACTTGTTCCGTTTTCTTGGAGTAGGATCTTGCCGATACGCTCTCCATTTTAACACTGCCCCAATGAGATGTGTTGATGTTTTCAACGAAAGCAGCAAAACGGGTTGCGCAGTCCTGGAATGACAAGTCCGAATACGGCCTCATACAGACATACAGTACACCTCTTCCTTTCCATACACCTGGTACACGTGATCGTTTATTTCTTATCACCGCCTCCATCTCAGTTGTGTCATTCAATGGTGTATATCCACCAGTTGCGACACTTTTGTTAGAGTGGACTGTTTTAGATGACCATAATATTACACTACCTTTTGTGGTTTAAACAGGAATTTGCCATTTACCGCCAATTTGTTCTATTTTTTGTCTTAGTGGGTCAGCCACTTCTTTGGAAATCTGCATAAATCCTTCTGCCTTGTCAGAACTCAGTTTCTTTTTCATACGCTTGTCGTTTTTTATCAGCATTGATTTTATTTCCTCGAAATATTTGTGACTCTTCTGTGAACAGACGAACGCAGCTGTACTGTCAGCGAGGATCACTTGACCTGCGATAATAACAACATTGACATGGATTAACCGTGGTAAAATCTAGGAAATTATTTTGTTACAGGGTGATATTCTTGCGATATAAGCCTCGATCTCGTCCGGATATGTCACCAAGAATAATGGCTACTTTTCCAATAAATGTCCAACTTTTGTATTTATGTATGTGTAAAAAGCTGATATGTTCTCACAGTGTTCCCCGTTTAGGAGAGCGGATTGTTTGTAGTAAATTGAAATATTATTTTCATTCTAAATGTGACACTTGGCAGTAATCCACAAACTAGTTGATAGTATGCGAAATAGGAATGATCGATTCGTCATATAATAAGCAAAAAATAGCACGGGAAATTTCAGGGAGGCATCAATGTGTGGCATAAACAATTTGGATTGCAGAATGGACACACTTCTTTCGGGAAAATGCACGTGTGACAATCAAAGACATCTATCTCCGTTGAAATTTTGTGCATATTATATCAATCTGTCTCACCTTGTACACAGTTTGCATGTCCGTCAATCTGATCAAGGTGCGGCCAATCCAAATCTTTTGAACCGATGTCTGGTTTTGTATTTGCATCTAAATTGATCCCGTCACCACTTACTATGAACCCCCCAGCCTCGCTTTCAGTCACCGTGTACGCACTTTCAAAAATTCGTCTAATTTTCTCGTCTTTCCTAACAGCCCACACAGCAGAGAATACATTGTTGATACACTGTATAAGACCTTCACGTATCATTGGAAAGGAGTGGCGGCTTCTCTGAGTAAAAGTCTCTGGATTAAATCTATCGATACCATCACTCAGACACCCATAGTCATGTAGAATACTGTCCATTAATGTGTCACATTCTGTATTGGAGAAAACCCCAGTCACCACAGCAACTCCAAATTCACTCAGAATTTCCTGTATAAGTACGTTGTCTTTCTTGGATGCGACCATCGTGTAATCTACATATGGTACGCAGTTCTTAACTCTGTGTCGTGTCACTCGTTGTATTTGTGGTCGTATTCGACGTAGCTGATGCCATGATTAATGTCGAACAGTGAATGTAGTAACCGCACTTTACGTAGT